ACTGAGCTATACCTTCCCCCCCCCCGTTTTGCTATTAACTTTGGGTATGTATCCTTCAGCAAATCATTACACGAAATGTTGAAAAGAATAATAGAACCATTAGCACTGAGTCTGTGCGATTCCTGAGGCTTACTAAGCTTCTGAGAGTGAGCGGCTGTTTTTCCAGGTCTGTGCACTCCAGCCCTTCTAATGGTTCTGACAGCATCCATCTCTGTGTGATAAATCCCTTTCAGCCTGAGATACAGAGAGTGTTTTCTGCTTTCCTGATAGAATCCTGACTGATACAGTATTTGGTACTGAAAGTAGTTTCAGGAGATACAGTGCAAAGACGGGAATCTGAGATTTCTCATCAGGCTGGATTTGACTTGAGGGCAATAATGACTTCGTCACTAGTGGAAAATGAGATTCTGGGAGACCACGGCCTGCAGCATCCAAACAGTTTCTCAAATTATTACCTGTCATTCTTGGAATCCTATTAGAGGAGAACAAGTGGGTTTTGCGATAAAATTTCCTGGTGGGAGAGGTAAGTACAAGGGCTGCTGCTGCCAAATGCAGTGCAAAGCTTCCAGGGGGGAAAAAAGCAACAACAACAATACTGGGGTTTTACAGGTTCAGCTCGCAGGCATCATCCAGGAGCTGGAGAAGTTTCTACCGCTGCCTATCTAGTGTATCACAACCCAGCCCCAGAGCTGGCCCTGCGGAGGGCAGGATGGCGATGTAACTTGACTTCACAACTGTTTCAGATGCGTACCTGGAAGGGGATTTATTGGGAAAGAAGGTGACTGAGAAAATTGCGATATATTTGGGTGAATTAGTGTATTTTAAAACTGCAAACCTCACGGAGCTTCCCTTCCTATTGGAAGCAGCTGATCTCTTCCTTGAAGACTTTGTAGCGACTTAGCTGAAATAATTATTTTCCCAGGGGATGCTGGTTCTCCCTCTGCAGGACCCACCCCTGCCACCTCTCAGGAACCATCAGTGAAGCCATCCAAACAGACCTCACAGGGTTTCAGTTCAGATCTGACCTGGTGGAAGATGTCACACACTTTAAAGGAACTGCAACATTCTGCTGAAGTGTCTTTGTAGAAACCTGAGGATTATGTGTGAGCGTAGATTCTAAGGGAGTTAGGCGAGGGGTAAAGTAAAATGTGATTGGGCCAAATTTATCAGTCTGAGTGCACTTAAGAGAAAAATCTGTCTTCAAGTGAGTTATCTGGAGCAGCTAGAAATGGCTGTTTGTTTAGCTGACAGAATAAAATCCTGGACCAAAAAAAAAGCCTGCATGAAATGGAATTCTTTTGTAGACTATAAAAGAAGGCATACAAAGTCTTGCATAGGAATGTCAGAGTGGATTTATTAAGTGTAACCTGCTCACCCGTCCTCTAACTCCATCCCTTATGTAAGTCCTGATGACACCGTGTTAAATTAGGCATTGAAAAATACATTTCCACAAGGAGCGTCCGTGTCGTTAAAACACCCTGTTGTGGCCATCCTCTGCTGGCGAGGGTGATGTGGCACCTAACCCACCTCGTGGAAGGATGATTACACTTGACCTCTTCCCTCACAGAGTAGGCAGTGATTTTTCATCATAGTAATAGACGTGTACCCTGTGTGTGGACGTGTCTGCCTTGCCCGCAAGGCTTCTGCCACGCCACCACACACGACTTACTAAATGCCTCATTATTTCATCCTATGATTTCCCATGTGACACAACTTCTGATCAACTGGTTATAACACAACAAAAGTGAGGCAGTGGGATTCACTGAGCTGACCGAGCACTCCCCTGCCCAGAAGCAGCACACCCTTCGTAAAAGAACGTCTCACTGAAGGGTCTGAACTGAGCCTACCGCGATCTAATGACTAATGAGGTCGAGATCCTCTTTCACAAAGAATGATGTAACTTAAGAGCCAGTATATAACGCATGTGCTGATTCTCCCATGGCCAGGAAACACAGGTTTGTAAATCAAGGGATGGAAATGCACCACTGCCCAAGGCTTCCTCTCACACCACCTGTTTCTTAGCAACAGGGAGATGGTCCAGTGTGCTGTTCCACACTCTGCCCGCAGGGCTGCTTCCCCTCACTGCCTCATTCAAGGTCAACCCCGAGCAGAACCAGGACTGAGAGCTTTTCCTCTGTCATCAGCTGGCAGAGGGCCTCCTGTTAAGTCACTACACAGGCTAAAACAGAAGCTTCGCTGCAGCAGACGGAGGTGACATGGGGGCCAAGGGGATGTGTTCCATCAACTCACTTAAACTTGCTTGAGCCCAATCCCACGTTTCCATCAGAAGATGGAGTGCTGCTGGCCTGCCAAACCACGTGCTTTGCTGGGTGACGGTGGGCAGCCCAGGTCACACCGCTACTTGGTGTCCCATGCCCAGGCACTCACTCTCTTCTAAACCTCTGTGGAACAGCAAGAATTGTTTAACAAACAGTAATTCTCTGCTGCAGAATGCAGATTATTTCAGCCCCACCCCTCGTGCACCGCTTGTATCTCTTTTTAGTGCCATTTGATCTTCCTTCTCTAGATTGTGAGAATGTGGGAGAGTTGAGTCCACATCCATCTTCCAGGGTCAGGCATAAGGACTAACCTATAGTAGATGCTGCATGTATGCTTGTGTAAGGATGGGAGGAGAGAAGGGAGAAGGAGAAGAAGAAAGTGTGGGTCTGAAGTTCAGTGCCTTGATTTATCACCGGTAACCATGGTGGTCAGCAGCATCTGAGACCCCAAGCCTAACAACAAGGGGCACTGCAGGACGTGGGGCAGGGGTCTGCTCTGGGATCCCGAGGCGGTGTAGGCTTCCCCCTCCTTTTCTGTCTCTTCCCGGATCCATGGAAGAAATTGAGCCACAGACACAAACATCCCAGGCCTCCCCCTGAAGCCAGATCTTACGCCCCAACTGAAGACACCCACTTGGAAGAGCCTCTGGTTTCCATGGATGGTACAGACCATAGGTGCCCCACTGTCTCCCTGAGAATGAGAAAAGGGAGAGGGCACAGTCCGCAAAGTGCCTGTAACTAGAAGGCAGAGTCAGAGAGTCCTAGTGGCGTGGGCTGGGGGCTTCCCTCCTGGGAACCTGGGAAGGGGCGGGGCCATAGAAGACGGGACTGAGACAGGGGCTGAGTACCTGGCAATTGCCTTTGGTGCCGGGTTCTTTCCACGCACAAAGCATGCTCCTGGAGAGCTGGTCCACCCTCTGGCTGCATTCTCTGCGGTTAATCTGCATCACTCTCAGCTTCTGCAGGTATGTGTTTAAGTGGCCGTATTGGTCTGGCAAAGTGAGGAAGCTAGTGTGAGGATGAACACTGCTGAGAGGGATGGGCCTACAAATGATCAGGGCCAAGGCACCAGAAGCATGCGAACACTCCGCAAACCTTGGACTCTAGGGGACAGAAGGCCTCAGAGGGGACCTCCTGCCGTGCCCAGCTCAGTCTCCTCTCTGGTATTTCCAGTAAGCGGTTCCTTCACCTCTGCTTATACGTGTCCCCTTTGGGATCTCACTCCCTCCGGGAGAAAGTTACCAACCCCCACCCCAGGCCCCGCCAGGTGAAGCCGGAATGAGCCTTCTCTGTGACCCTGCCATCTCTTCACAGCCATGATTTGTCCCTGTGCAGAGGTTCAGAACAGCCTCACTTCTGAACCTGTCTCTGTCAGGCCAGTGGAGAAACCAGGAAAATGGCACATCTTGTGGGAAGGAAACAAGCTTGAGCCTAGAGGACCTTCTGGCCTTCTCCCCATCCCACCCCCGCCACCCCTGTCTGGCCAGCCTGGTGCCTTGGGAAAGGAGAGCAGTTGATGACTGTGCTTGGTTGAGGACCCTCTGTCTCAGCGTTATCTCAGGATGGTGGCCTGCATGAGCTGCATCGGATGATGAACAGCTGGGGAGACGCGACTATAAAACAGCCCAGGACAGAAGAATCCGAACTGGTTTTCTACACTGCTTCTGGGCTCCAAAAAAATGATCATCACTCTCATGTTTTGAGCGTCTTCTATGTTCCAGGCTTCTACTAGAGATCTTGCATGTATAATCTCACTTAATTTAATCCACGTAACTTATCTGAGGGCAGCATTGCTGTCATTCTACAGATGAGGAAAGGTGCGGGCAAGGAAGGTGAAGGAGCCAGCTGGAAATCACAGAGCTAGGGTGGAGAGGCCAAAGCTCAGACCTGAGTCTTCCAGAGCATCACGCTGTCAGGCCCAGTGGGACCCACATGTGGGCTTGCTATGGGTTCTGAAGGGAAGGCACCTACCGTATGCAGGAGGTGTCACCCATTCTGTCATCCAACAGCGGTCCCAGACCCTCTCCTTCCTCTGCAGGCAGATGGGCATTTTGAAGTTCGTAAATTGTATTGGCGTGGCGAGCAGGAGCAGGGAGAGGTCGCTGTCCACGTGGGGTGGCTTGTAATCTTTGTGAATAATTATTTTCTGCACTTGCTTTCTCTCTAGGTGGACATCATTGAATGTTCTGGATCCCATGACCACAGTGACATTTTCCAATGTCATTTCTAGTCTAAAGAATGAATATAATAACTCCAAACTATAATAATACATTGTGTTTCTTGTTTACAGACACATTTGTAATCAGCAGAGTGTACAACTGAACACTGAGAAGTGCAAAAACAGTGGCTAGAGATGAGAGGGGCAGGAATCAGGGGTCTCAACTCAGGCTAGTGACTATCAGCCCATGGGGACTGTCTCATCCCCTCAAAGGAAGTGGAAGGAATCCATCCAGGAGAATAGAATGTGAGTTCCTTGATCACAGGGAGCTTGACTGCCTTGTCGACCACCACATCACCCTCACTTACAAACAGCACATGGTAGCCTGTGTGTGTACAATGAATGGATACAGCGTGTTGTCTACACAGATGGTAGGCAGGAAAAGAGAAGCCTTGTGCTGATTTTCCAGTACTGGCTGTGTAGCCACAACTAGCACCCAACCTTTAGATACGGTTTACTAAAGAGGAGAGAATAGGTGTAGAGCAGACACTTTTTGGTACAAAGCCAATGGGAACAAACTGGCTGAAGAGCCCATGGCTTCACAAGCCTTCTACACAAACCCGTTAAGCTACCCAGCCCAGACAATATGCTGCAGAGACCTGATATAAATTAAGACAACACCGCAGAAACTTACAGGGTTCTTGGGAAGCAATGTGCAGCTGTCAGAACCCACCACCGATGTATGATTGAGCCTCCACAGAGGTGTTTCTGCGAGATCTGGATACTCACTTGCCATGGGAACTCGCCATCCTGAACTTCAAACAGTTCGTGAATTTGTAACAGCGATGAGTTTGAAAACTGGGGTCTGTAGCCACATTGAACGTCATCTGAAAGAGAACAGAAAGAGCCATTTGTACATGAGAAGCACTGAGGTGTCCTTCTTATACCGTATTCCTAGCATCTTGCCAGCTAAGACTGGTGATGGAGCTGAGAGAAGTGAGCAGGTGCAGAGGGGACAGATCTGAGACAACACCAGCAAAGCATACCTCCTTTAGAGTCTGTCCCTCCCATTCAAAAAGACCTATGAGAGCTGGAGGAGTCAGGGCGGAGATCAATCAGAAGCTGTAGAGGGGTTGGGGTGGCAATGGAGAAGGGCCAAAGATATGCAGAGTCCATTCAGAAAACAGAAACCATGCAGGACTTGAACACGGGAGTTTAATGTAACAGCGGAGTAACTATAAAGGGTCAAGAGGACTCCAGGAATATCTCCGGGTTAGGGAAGAATGGAAGGGCCAAACTTGGCAGGAGAGTCCCTCCCCAAGGCTGGGATTCGGAGCTCACTGGAGAATGTGTCTGCCGCCCAAGGAAAGGCAGAAACTTGCTAGTCCCCATCGCAGGAAACACTCCTCTTGAGTATAGCTGGGCTGAGGCTGGAGAACCCCCCATCCCAAGGCAAGCGAGCTGATGACTGGGGGGCCAGAGTGTGGAGCGAGCTTAGGTGTCGAGAGCCTGCTAGTCAGAGGGGGGACGCAAAGCCTGGGTGTCCAGGTCTGTGTTGGCACAGATGCAGTGGCGAGGTGTAGGGGGTCTGGAGGATTTGGGGGCTGATCAAAGAAAAAGATATGGCCACCAGGTGGCTGTAGCATACACAGGCTTTATATGAGTGATGGTTTTACAGGTCTGCATGCAGTAGATGCCTTTTGAATATATCATCCCAATCACTACTGGCTTGCAAGGTCTCTGCTGAGAAATCTGCTGTTAGATTTATGGGGATACCCTTGTAGGAGAGAAATTTTTTTTTCTCTTGCTGCTTTAAAATTCTACCTTTGATTTTAGACAGTTTCATTGCAATGTGTTTTGAAGAAGATCACCTTGGATTGAAATTTTGCAGTGACCTATTAGCTTCATGAACTTAGATGGACAATCTTTCCCCAGGTTTGGGACATTCTAAAGCTTTCTACCCCTTTCTCCTAATCGCTCCCTCTGGGACTCCAGGGATGTGTACATTGTATCTCTTCATGGTGTCCCATCAGTCCCACAGGCTTTATTCATTCCTTTTGATTCGTCTTTTCTTTTTGTCCCTCTAATTAGATCATTTCAGTTGCTCTGTCTTTGAGTTCACTGACTCGTTCTTCAGTTCCAAAATTTGTTTGGTTCTTTACATTTCTCTTTGTTGAACTTCTCATTTTGCTCTTGTATGGTTTTCCTGATGTTGCTAAATCGTTTATCTGCTCTCTTGTAGCTACAAGCATCTCTCTGAGCATCTTTAGAACAATTATTTTGAAACTTTTTTTGGGAAATGTACAGATGCCCCATTTTGCAGAGCCAGGTACTGGAGGTTTACTGTATTTCTCCAGTGGAGTCATGTTTCCCTGACTATTCATCATCCAGTAGCCTAACGTAGGCATCTGGACATTTGAAGAAACAGTCACCTCTTTCAGATTTTATGGACTGACTTCAGGAAGGGAAGCCTTCAATGTGTAGGTGGGAGCATGCTGGACTGGGCTGTAACCCTGATCTGCTAGTGCGGAGGGTCAAGTGTATGGGCATCATGTCTCTTCAGCTCAGACCACTGAAAGCTACAGCATTCATAACTGTGTGGTCCTTGGTGAGCACTTGGCAGGGCGGGTGTCTGCAGTGGCTGCAAGGGCTTTTAGCAGCATCTCTAGGTCCAGTGAGTAAGGACCAGGGCAGAGCTGATGGCCAGAGCTGGTGGTGTGCACGCACTCAGCCATGGGGCCCTGCTTCAGGAGCTTATGCAGTGGCAGGGGCTGGTTGCAGGCACACATGAAATGATGGGGGCCAGGGCAGGCAGCACGGGCTGAGGACAAATCTAAGCTCACAGGCAGCTGTGTGGACCCTGACTGTCGGACCTTGCTCTCCTGCGGCTGCACGGTTTTCCCCAGGCATGTGCGCTGCAGTGGGAGAGGCCAGGAGAGAGGTGACGAGGGCTGACCTGGGACACGGCCAGTGGGGAGGCATTTCAAGTCAAGAGATTAGATTCCTTCTGGCTCCTTCTGGGTGCTTCTCCTTGGGTCCCCTGACATCCCCTGTGCTCCATACAGCTCTTCCTCTCAAGGGTCTGCATGAAATGTCACTTGCACCTACAAACTTGCTTGAAGGTCATCTTAAGTATGATATTTACCAATTATTTTTGCAAAGAGCTATTTAGATATTAGGGATAATAATTCTTTACCTGAAAAAAAATTGTAATTACCCAATTTGTCAATTTCTTTTGTTTTTGATGTTCAAGAACTTAAGATTTTTTTTACTGGGTCAAAAGTTTTCCTCTATAATTTTTTTCCTTATAGTTTAAGTGCTTAGAAAGTCATTCCTTTCGCTAAAAATTTGTTAAGGGAGCTTCTTTTTAAGTAGTCTGTCCATGTCCATCTGTCATGGTTGCCTTCGACATGGGGTATGAACGTGTGCAGCCCCTGGGGTCCCTCCTTGGCCAAATCAGCCGTGTCATTTGCACTGATCCTTCTCAGCAATACTGCTTAAGAAGCGTTTACCCAGGAGTCACCTTTGGTTGATTCGGGTTGAAGATTTCTTATCCCATCTCTTGCCCCTGAATTTTATATTGTCTCCAAGTTTTGGAATCCAGATGTGAAATATCAAATCAAAGTTGAAGGGTCCCTTTCTCTCACCTTTGCTCTGATCTCCTCCTCTCTCCTGCCACTCTCTCCCCTGCCTCCTCAGAGTTTCTCAGATTCTCAAGTGAGCACACACATAGATACACACTCACTATGTGCTGTAAAGCTAGTTTATCATGAGTATGTGGCAATATTTCAGCACAGCCCTTACAGATGTTTCAATTTTGCTTCTTATATTGAAACTCGGTGGTGCGCATCCTCCTATACACTCTGGCTGCCTCAAGTATAGCCTCTGAGACAAAGATTTGTTCTTATATTAGAAGATTTAGGGGGGATCTCAGTGATAGAGCCCGTGATTAGCATGCACAAGGTCCTGGGTTCAATCCCCAGTGCCTCCATTAAAAATAAATAAGTAAATAAGTAAGTTAGTAAGTAAATAAATAAATAAATAAATAAAAACAAAAAAGAAACAAACAAAGATTTAAACTAAATTGGAATTCAGTGCTTGAATCCTTCATCCAGACTTTATTTCAATAATTTCTGGCTTTGCTGCCACCACGTTTAAGAGCAGGTCAGGTAACTGGTGGCATCGGTTGAATTAATTTACCAGGTTTGGTCAAAGCACTAATGATAACTCTACAACGAGTACATTTAAACAAAAGATAAACATTCGCGTCACCTCAGCACATGTTTAACGCCGGCAGAATGTTTCAGACTAAATGAACCTAGTTTGCTAAGTACCCAGAGTTTATGAAAATAAGTGAGTAGGCATTTAGTTTAGGAGATGTCATGTTCCAGAAACAGGCATTGTCGTTTTTAACCTGCTCCTCCTCTGCTGTCAAAACCAGGCATGTCCTTTCAGGTCAGTTGTCCTCAACATGCTCTTGGCTCTTGGTTCATCCGCGTGTGAATTCCGAGGCACAGGGAACACAAGTCAGCGCCAGCCCGTCTGGCCGCCAGGTCTTCTCTCCCCGACTGGAGTTGTCACCGCTTCCACACATCCCCTGCCACTCTGACCCTCCCGGTGCAGACTCTGACCCCGGGCAGATTTGGCCAGGCCGTCACCCTCCCCCACCTCGGCTTCGGCTCAGCCCCTCAGCATCTCTTCTTGGGATGGAGGTGACTGTGGTGACGGCCTCCTCACTGTCATCCCAAACTCTGAGACCTCAGTCTCCTCTTTCTCCATCTTCAACCTTGCACGCAGCTGTCTTGGTTCCCTTCCAGCAGGTCATCCAGCAGGTCAACTTGACCTTGCTAATTTTCTTCTCAAAATGCTTGGATGGCCCCTTCCAGGGACCCTAAACAGAGCAAAGTCCCAGTCCTTGGCACGACCCTTAGACCGTCAGTGATCCAGCATGATCGACCTGCCTTCCCAGCCGCACTTCTGGCTACTCCCCAGTGCCTTCCCTGTGCTCTGAGCCGTCGCTAAGTGGTTTTTAGATCTGGGAACATGTTGACCTTCTTCAGCTTCATGCCTTTGCCAGTCTTTTCTCTGCCGTAGATACATCCACTATCCACCTGGGAACGCACGTAGTCTTCGAGAGTTATTTTCTGCTCTGTTGTCCCAAAGCACCTTGAAAACACTTCAACAGGGCACATTGTGTTAATGCTGACATGTGTCCCTGACTGGACTGTAAATGTGTGGACGATATAAACCATCCCTGCCATCTTCATGAGATGACATAAAATAATAAGGTGGTCTGAAATAACAAGACCCTGGTTCCACCACAGCTCTGTTGCTCCTCCTGGAGTGTTGGGCCCAGAAAGATCCTTCATGCATTTACAAAGTGGGCAGTGGAGCCTGGGGAAGCAAAAGCATTGGCTAATTGTTGCTCCAAGCCCCGTGTTCTTCCTGAACTCTGGGTCCAGACCCTGGGGCGTGCTCACTGAGCCCCCTGCATCCACTGTGAGCCATGGATTGTGATCTCCTCACTTCCGGAGCCACTGGCTCTAACTCTGCTCCCCCTCAGGCCTCTAAATCAACCCAAAGGAGCCAGGTGAGAGGCTGCAGGCCTCTCCCCATCCTCTGCCCTGGGTTAGCCTGGCACAGACCTGCATCTCCCTGGGCACGTCCCTCGAGCGCCATGAGCAGCGGAATTAGAAGCTGGAGCATTTTTGCTTTATTCCAGTCCAGAATTGCCCAACCTGGGCCTCCAGCCAAAGCTGACAAAGTGCCAGCTGCTGCTTCAGGGGGGCCATCACAAATGCATGGCAGC